GTATTTTCAGAAGTGTTCAGCAGCGAAACTTCGTTGTCCAGTAGACCTTTAAAAAAAAAAAAAAAAGAAAAAAAAAACTTTTTACCAAATTCTTCATCTGAAATAGCCGAATTTGCCGTCTTCGACTTTAGATGCCCATGCCATAGCATTTTTAAAAGCTTCCATCTGTAGTTAAAATCCAGAAATTTGAAGGCAAATGGAAGCATTCCAGGCGGTACGAACTACTTTTTGATGTGATTCTCAACGCCTCTTTCTTAATATTACGTATAAGAGCAAGCTTATGGCAGTTATGACTTCTTGGCATTCGTTATTGTTCAATTTATCACCGAGAGGAATGAAAAAGTCGTAGTAGAATTGGTGTTTCTGTGACAAATTTGATGCTTTGATCGTTCAAATCATTTTACTGGCTAGGTGCCAAGAATTTTTCTGAAAAATTTTGGTTTTGCAGTAGGTCGGCTAGCGCACGAAGTAGGCTGGCAGTATCGTGATGTGGTCGAGAAACTGGAAGCAAAACGGAAGATCAAAAGTGCTGCATTTTATCAGCGCAAAAAAGCAAAAGCGAAACTGCTTGCGGAAGCAATGAAGTCAGATGCTGTGAAGAATTCACCGTATCAAAAACTGATTGAATCTTATGGTTATCAGTAAAGTTATTTGTTATTTTTATTAAAAAATTGATAAAAATCCTTGATTGTTTTCTGCATTGTGTTGCGCACTGTTCAGTGAGTGGGAAGTATTTCTGCCTGTATTTGCTATATAGTTAATTTACAAAAATTTGCAATCTTTTTGAGTTGTGGTGTTTGATTTTCAACATGGATTGGCAAAGAGTTGATGACTCACAGTTGAAATAAAAAAATGTTTCTTTTAAGACAAGGGCAACAACGGAATAATATATGATGAAATATATAATGATATATGATGATGTTATATACAATATATGATACAATATACAAAATATATACAATATATAATGATATGAATATACAATATATGATGAAAAGAGTTCACACAGAAAACTGAAGCAAACTGCTGCGAGAGA